CCACAGCAGGTGCCACGTCCTTCTCCCTTCTGGAGGATCATGGCTGCCACCTGGGTGGAATGTGTGTGGTTCCACTGCACCCTGGGAAAAGCACTTGTCCCATACCCTCAGAAGGGGCCCTGGAGCCAGTATTGGAGCCAGTAATGTCCCTTATCGAGTGTCTCGGACTCCCGCCTGGGCTGCCTCTGACTCTGGATATCTCACTAGGTCTCGCTTCTTTGGGTAGATCAGGGAGGCACCCTCAAGGGTTCTGGAATAAAATGGACTCCTCCATTGCTTCTTTTTTTGTTGTGTACTTTTTTTTTGAGGCAGGGTCTTGCTCTGTAGCCCAAGCTGGCTTGGAACTTGTGATCTTCCTGTTACCAGAACTCTAGGGAGGAGGTCTGTGAAATGGAGGAGGCCTCTGGCTGGAACTTGGGTCTGTGATATTGTCACAAAAAAGAATTTTAGGACACATTGAGATAGAGACCAAGAAAGTTTATTAGTAAGATAAAAAGAAAGATAGAAATATGGTATACAGCCCAGATGTGGGTGTGGTCACATCTGATAATAGGTGCAATGAGTCAGGAGTATTTACGGTGAAAAAGTGGGATGGGTTTTGGCTCAAATTTACCTTAGGAAAAGCACTCCTTTTTTCCTATTTTTTAAATCATTTTTATGGCTACACTGTTTTATCAATTGGGCCCACAGATTTTCTGGTTGGCCCATTCATTAAATTTGGGTCACTAAGACATAGATGCTTGAATGTTCCTTTAAACAAAGGATGGGTCCTGCCAGATGCTCCCTTCAGGACAGGTGTCTACTGCTGGACACTTTTTGTGCCCAGAGGAGTCATTTTCCCAAGAGTTTTTTTTTTCCCCCAAGATAGGTATTTTTCTTTAAGATATCCTTGTCCAGTTCTTAGAGCACACTAATTATTTGGGCAGGCAGGCAAGGTCAAGGGGAGAGAGTGGCTCTTTTTCCCACTTTGCTCTTTTTACTAAATGTAGCTTGCTGAAGGAGAATAAAGTCTGATGCAAATAGTGCCCAGATGCTTTTAACCAAGCAGTTTATTAATATAGTGTTTATTTGTGAATTCCTGGCTGCTGTTTCCCATGCCTTATTTTCTCTGATCTATCCTGCCTCACTCCTACCTCAGCCTCCTGGGTAGGGGCTGGGATTCTAGGCTTGCACTACCACACCGAGCTTGGCATTGTGTCTTCCTCTGCGTGACAGCTGTGACTGTAAGCAGCAATTTTTCTGGCCTGAGTCATCTTTTAAAGCATGTGGCCACTGAACTCTGTGTTTTCTGTAGAGGTTGATAGCATTACAGTCATTTCCTTAAGGAATCATCTGAATTTTTAAACTACCTGCCCTGAGTGGGTGAAGAGACCACTTTAGTGGGCCACACCAGCACTTACAAAAATAATAGAGTAGAAAAAAAACAGGGTAAAGTGGAACAGGCCAGGGCAGGAGGTACTGAATCAGAAGGCATCGCTTGTTGCATGAAACTGTTTCTGTGTGTGTGTGTGTGTGTGCGCGTGTGTGCACACATGTGCACAGGAATTGGGGTGTGGTACAGGCAGCTAAGTAGCTGCTACCTCTGTGCTCTCCTCCCTCAGCACAGTGGTTCCTGTGCCATGAGCACTTGATTGGATGTGGCGCTTCACTTCTGGGTTTAGGTGGCTCTGAGGTTGGTGGGGAAGTCCTAGTGGGTGTTTCAGTGATTCTGGAACCCACCCTTTGTGAGGTTCCAACACCTTCTAGGACACTCATGTGAGCCAGAAAAGGACTTTCATTTTAATCCAATCCACTGACATTTTGGGACCTTCCTATTAAATAGTGGCAAATGCCATTGTATCTGACACATGGTAAAACATATTTCTTACTCCAACTCACATATTTTTCAGATGGTGAAACCGAGTGTATGTGTGTGGCACGTGACACTGGGTGAGCTGGTATCAAACCCTGTGGGAGGGAAAATGTCATGAGGCCAGGGCTGCTTTGATACTACAGACCCAGCGGCTGACCCTGGTTCCAGACTCCCAGCCCAGGGCTCCCCCATCCCTAGGCCCCCTCCACATGGAATGCCTCTGAGATGTACCCTCCATTCTTGCCTTGTCCCCAGAGTAGCTCTGGGAAGGAAGGCTGAGCCAGGCTGCTGAACCTGCTCTCACCCAGCTGGGGCAGGCCCTGTGGTTAGCATCTCTGCCGGCACCCGGCCCGCAGACTTTCTCTGAATCTCTGAGGCATACAATTCTGAGAACCCAGCAGCAGCTTGCCACCCACAACTGTCACAACTACAGAGAGTCACACATTTGCACACCCAGCAATTTGCCCCCAGAGTCTAGGCCCTGGTGCTGGCCTCGGACGATGGAAACCACAGGAGCTGCTGTGGTTATGCAGACCCTGCCACCTCCAGGAGCTTCAGGGCACTCCAGACCCCACAATTCTGCAGGGGTGTGTTTGTCCTGAGGGGCGGGGCATCTGGTAGACTGCCACACCCTTGGGGCTGTTGGTTGTTTGAGTCAAGGTGGGGTACAGCCAGGCAGAATGACCTGCATCTAGCAGACAACCCACCTGCAACATGGCTCCAAGGTGGCCAAGCTTGGCATCTGCCCAGCCCCCACTCTATTTTACAGTGAGGAAATGGAGGCTCTGGAGCTACCACCTCGCTCAAAGTCCCCTTTTAACTGGGAGGGGGCTGGGCAGAGCCCTGTCATCTGGAGGGTGAGCAAGGCAGGTGGGATCCATTCCAAGAGACACTGGCCTTTGTCTTTCCCTGGCATCTTAGAACAGATCTAACTCTTCCCTAGGGTGATTTTTATGGGACTGGTAGCAAAGAATGACAAAAAGGGTTAGGAGAAAACTGGCCCAGGCAGTTCCTCAAAACCTGGGGAGAAAGGGGTTCCCCATTTTGGGTTCCCAGGGTCATCTACTCATCTGCCTTCCACACACTGCCCCTGGGCAATCACTCAGATTCTAGTGGTCTCACTGGGTCACTGGGAGACGTGGACTGGCTGTGTCCCTGTCCTAGGGGAAAGCACACTGGGCATCCTGACATGTCTCTGCCTCGTTATTTCCACCTGAGAGTTCTAATGTTCTCCCCTTTTCCTAAAGTGGTCACAGCAGTGCTTTGTCTCACAGGTGCCTCTGGGACACTGTTCCCTCCCCTGTAACTGGGCAGGCTGTGAATGCCTTGGTGAATAGAATGTGGTGGAAATGATGCTGTGTGACTTTTGAGGCAGGTCACAAAAGTTTGGAAATGGCTTTACCTGGCACTCATGCACTCTCTCTCCTTACTGTCCACATGCTCAGACAGCTAAGCAACAAACCAGACTCAGACAACTGGATGCCAGTGATAGCTCATCCCCACCATGCTCTGCCTGGACCCTTGTTCTGAAAGATCATCATGGTCCAACGGGTTGAGCATTTGTTATGCAGCCAAAGCAGCTGGTACAGTGGGCAAAATGAGCACCCCATCCAGTGGACCTCTGGATGGACCCCATGGAGCCTTGCTTAAGAGTAGCCTGGCCAGTGGGGCTGGCATTTGATCAGGAAATGGGTCTCAGGCAGGAGGGGGGCCAAGGGCTGGAGCACAGCCTGGTTGGGTTGGGTAAAGATGGCATCACCTTCCATTCTGAGGGCTCACAGAATCATCTGCTTCCAGATGATGGACGGTCAGGGTACGAGGCCTCCTCTGTGGTGCGATGGGCAGGAGTCTAAGCTGTGGGAGGGACTGAGGGCAGTGGGGCTGTGTGTGGAGCAGGGGGGGTTGGCTTGCACAGCTGAGTGGCTCTGGAACGGAGGCAGAGCCAAGGAGAAGTGGCCATGCAGTGTTGAGGGCTAAGCATGTCGTGGGAAGGGCAGAGAATGGCTGTCTCCTCTGTGTTGTGGACTTTGAAGTCTGTCCTTCCCTGAAGCATTTGTAGAGAGGTGACACCCACTGCAGCCCTGTCACCCTCCCAGTTACACCTTCATTCCTTTGCCACCTTCATTAGCTTCCTAAAATTCAGGGTTTTGACACTGGGTTCCCATGGCCCTGGGATGCAGCCTGGGCACACTCTGTTGGCTGTTTCTAAAGGTTTGACATCATCAGTGAGGGGCCAGCCCCATACAGCAAGTGCCTGTGGGAAAATGAAACCCATTTCTAGCATTTACTGAGCAGGAAGTGGGTGTGCCCATTGCTCACCACAGAGGGGAAGTGGCTGACTCTGCTCCTTTGGGTGAAGCCCCCAGGTAGAGAGGTGCAACTAGGCAGGGAGAAGTTCCTGCAGCATCGCTCAGTCCCTGGGGTTCAGGAAGGGCCTCAGCTGCATGTGTGGCGATCTCCACTTTTATTTTTGTAAGTTGCCTCTGCTACATTCTTAGCCTTCTCCCTGATCGGGAAGCTCACTAGCAAGAGCCACCTGAAAAGTGTGCCAGCCCCCACACCCGTGCTGGCAGAGCCTGCAGGGAGGGGCTATGACTACTGGGAAGGGAAAGCCCTTGCTGGTAGGGCCTGGGACCTAGCCACAGGTGGGCCAGACACACTTTCCTAGGTGCCCTTTGACTTGGGAGTGTTCTTACCACTTCTCTGTCTCCACCCTGAGGCCTGTCACCAAACTCCCTTAGCTGAATGTAAGTGAGGCTTCCAGGGCAAGCCAGAGCTATGGAAGAAAGGGAGGAATGCAGGCCCTCTAGGAGCTGCAGGCACTAGGGTCCAGGCAGTTGGCGGAAGGGCAGAGGGCAGGACCTTTCCTCCAGGGCTCTCCTAGAACCTCAGGTTGGCCCTGAAACTGCTGCTTTCACCTGCTGGCTGAGCTTCTGCTTCACTGCCTTATCCTGTCTAACCCTCACCACTCTGTGGAGACTAGGGCCACTTGCAGAGTGCAGGTGAGGAAACTGAGACGCAGGAGGTTTAGTAACCTGCCCAAGTTGTACAGGGAGGGAATGGCAGGGTGCACGGACCTCTGCTTCAGGCCGTGGTGTCCACAGCCCACTCACTCACCCCGGCTGTAACAGTCAAGCCACACTCCCAGTTCACATTAGTCTTTTATTGTCACCATATAGAATGGGATGGTTTTGCCAAAAGGATAGATCACTTCCTAAATCAATATGCATTACAGCAATGAAGACAGATGAGAAAACAGTGACAGGATATAAATGGCACTGCAGAGAAGTGAATTGTGCTGTTGTGAGAGAAGTTCGTATGACAACTTTTTTCTCAATGTGATCTGCAGCCTGTTTATATGAACTCTGTTCCCACAAAATAGACTTCTGAGCACTAATACTTAGAAACTGATTTGGCCTGTGAGAGGAAGCCTGGCTTGCTGACCACTGTCCGCAGTCCACTTGCCTCTTCCCCTGGCTCCCCCATGGTTCCTACTCTGGACACAAGGGCAGTGTCCACGAGGGAGGAGGGATGGAACTGGCTTTAGGGTCACAGGATAGCACTCAGAGTGTAGGGTCATAAGTCCTCCATATGCTTTTGTTCTGTAATGACCTCTGGGGGCAGTTTCTTAAAATAATAAAAATAAAAGCAACACGTCTGAATCGACTGTGACAGGTTATCATCAGGAGACTACTGAGCATCATAGCATTTTCTATTATTTGTTCTGGCATTTCTGACAGAGTAAGTGTGCTTCCAGTGGAGGGTGGTACCCACTGTGTGGCTTCTTTAGGGCTCTGAGGCCTGATGGAAGATTCAGCTCAGTCATATGCAAGAAGGCAAAGCACAGGGAGGGCCTGGCTTATTTAGAGTCCCATCATTCTGAAATACCATTATTTCTTTCCAGATTGCAGTTAGCATTCAACATGAGCAGAAGGTCACCTTTGCAAGAGTAATCTAGAATAACTAAATGTTTAAAGTGTTACGTGACCCCTTGGCATACACATAAGCAAAGTAATTATGACTTTTTTTCTAGTCTGTAACTTTCATATGTAACATTGATAAGTTTTAACACAGATTTCCAATCTGATTAGAGAGGAATACAGGAAACAAGGGGACATGAAAAAGTAGATGGCAATGGGAATTAATCTATGCTCAACGTGTGAAAAATGCATCTGACTGTTAATAATCACACCATGGGAAGGATTCCACTGATTACCACATTGTTAAAGAAAAAGGCTTCATATATTCAGGATAAAAAATGTGCAATTGAGCATAAGTACTTGATAAAATAGTAAAAAGAGACATATATTCTTTAATAGCACTGTAATTAATAAAAATGCAAATGATGCTCAACAAAAAATTTTAAAAGTCACATAGAAAAGATACTACCACACTGTAACTATGAGTCCCTGGGGTTTGAGGCCTGTGTTGCCCATGCCCTGCTCCCCTCCTGTTTTTCCTCTGGGGAGGGAGTGAGCTTATTGGGGTCACAGAAGCAACACCTTTGAGTGAACCCGTGGACTCTCATGTGGCACCAACACAGAAACTCAGGGTAGAGGGGATCTACTTCTAGCATTCAGGTAGAGCTGGGGATTTTAGGAACTATTAAATGCCCAAACAATGGCAGGGAACCAGCCTAGAGCTTTCTTGGTCTTGTGGGTTGCCAATGACACTCAACTATGGCTCCAGTTCTCAGGACAGAGGAAATGCTAGAGTGAGTAGATGACAGTGGCCCACCTGCAAGGGTTGGCCAGCTCTGTGGTCCTTTCTGGTCTCTGTCCTAAGGCCCTGGCAGAACAGTTTCTACCTTTGGACTAAGAACACCTTCCTAAACCAAGACCTTTGTGAGAAAAGTGGCCAATGTCAACCCCTGTGCAGGGCCAGTGTAACTCACTGTGGAGCTTACAAAGTGTTGTCAGTGGTGACATATGCTGGCAGAAACTTAGAGGTGCAGAGAGGACCAGTCAGAATGAGGAACTGCGAGCGCTAATTAGGGCAATGGCTGAGTAATCTCTCTCATGGGAGGCCAGCTAGCCCTGTTATCGGGCAAAACCAGTTGTTATTCACCTTACATGCTGATGTGGCAAGAGGAGATCCCTCTAGAATAAATTGCAGAGCTAATTAGAACCCCCTCTGTGGTAGCTGACTGGAGAGAGTCATCACCGTTTTCTTGGAGATGGAGTGGGAAATCATGTCATTATCACATTTGTCTGCAGAGAAATACATGGCTATCAGTGGGAGGGACATAAATAGTGTGCGTTCCTTCATATTTAGCTTTTTATTTAATTTAAAGGTAACTCAAAGACTGCCATTGCCCAGAGGCCCCACCATCCTCTGGGAAGAGGTACAGGGAGCCAGTCCCACTGTTGGGCTGCTCTTTCCCATGGAGGTGAACTGAGCCCTGCATCCATCTGCAGTCCCCACCGTCCCGGGCAGAGTTTCTCCTTGGAGGAGAGAAATGGCTCGTGTGATGCTTTGTGTCCGCTACAGTTCTCAGAGCTGCCCACTGAGGGAAGTCTCTGGTGAAGCTCAGGAAGGGGATGGCATGGCAGGCCTGGTCCTGGCAGTGGGGCCAGATGCAGAGCTCACAGCTGAGAGCAGGCCCTGCAGCTCCTGCACTGGCTTCTGGAAAGGGTAGGTTGTGTAGGAACCAATATCCTTCTGGCACCTGGAATGTTCTCTAGGAAACCTGATCCTCACAGAAGGGACTCCATGTCTAATTCCCTGTCTCTGTGGGTGGGAATGAGTTAACAGAAAAATCCAACTCTGAAACTAGAAAAACTTGGTCAGAAAAATTGACTGTCTGAAAGATGCTTATCCCCTTTTAAAGTTGGGGTAACATTTCCCAATTCAAGGTTAGTAATATTCTTACAACTTCTGCAATCAATACAGCAAAAACTGGTTTAAAGTGACCTTGTTCTCTGGCTTTAAAAGATTCTCAAAGGTGAAGAACAGTTGTTTAAGGAGGAGCAGTGTGGCAAAAGTGTATTCAGGCTGAGGACTATAAATGTATTCTTTAACCAATCAAGGAATCTACCCCACATCACACCTAAATATGATTCTTAAGTTTAGACCCTGCTTCTAAAGATGTTTGTAACTCTGAGAGGTCAGTAGTGGGTTTTTTCCAGCCCTGGAATGCACTCATTATAGTTCATTCTATTGTACCTGGCTCTGCTATTTGGCTTCCTAAAGTAGGAGTGAAATTGGCTGAGATAAGGATTTCCACAGAATAAGCTTTCTTGATATCAACCAATTTTCCTATGGCTGCTGCTTTGAGAGAAGGAAGATTTGAAACCAACTCCGTCTCCTCCTTCTGAGTATAACTGATAGAGCTATCAGACTCTCTTAGTTGCGGGGAGGAAAAGTGGTTCTGACTGTGGTTTTGGTCTTCTCTGACAGTGTGGTGCTGGATATCTAATCCAGCTCTAATTCAGAGCAAGGGCGGGGTGGTCAAGTAAGGGCGAGAAAGCCCTGTCTGCATTTTGGTGAACATAGCTCATTGTGCTCTGTGGCCTTATTTGTTTCTCTCTAAAGGGCCCAACAGGCTATACCAATGCCAAATGCATGCTGGGAAAGCAGCACTGGCTTCAGAGGGTTCTCCACTTGTGGAGTCTTGGGGGTACCAAGTAGGCAGGTGGACCGCTTTGGTCAGATGTCCAGGGGGCTCACGATGGTAAAGCCAGAGTCTTTGCTGCTGTCGTCATCAGGGCTAGAGCTGGGGTTGCTGGAGGAAGCCGAGGCTGGACCCATCAGTGGGTCTGAGAACACCAGAGGGGAGTAGGATAGGGCCTGGCTTTTCCCAGATGTGCTTCTGAGGGTGCGAAGAGGCTGGGCCTGGCCTGAGAAAGGCCCCCTCATGTTGCCCCCCTCATCTTCTTTGGAAACCAGTATGAAGTCATCTGAACTCCCTCCATCTGTGTGCCCTGGTGTTTCTGAAGAGGCCTGTGAAATACAATCAGAAGAACAGATGGATGAAAGTTGAAACTAGCAAAGCACAGAGTAGAGGCCCTGTGAATTGCAGAGTACCGTGGAAGATGGGCTGCATTACGCTACACTCCAGCTTGGGGAGATGCAGGGTTAGGTTTTACGACCTGAAGTCCAGGCACTTAGCAGCAATGCAGGGCCAGTGGCATTTGTTGAGTCCCTCTGAATGCTGGCTTCCCAAAGGACCAAAGCCAACTTCCTTCTCAATTGGCTGCGGAGGGAGGAAGCATCTATGCTGTGAGGAGGATCAGGCTCAGGAACCAGCCACTGGTTACAGGTAGTAACCCTACAGTCTCAAGTGGAACCCCAAGCACAAGCCTTTTGTCCTCCATAAGCTTTCCTTCTCTCATCGGTGAAATGGGGGTAAAGATGTGCTTCTCTTAGGATGTGGTCACAGTGCAGTGAGATGATCTGTGCAGACAGGAGTCTCACATGTAAGGTAATTTTACTACGTACTTTCAGAGGGCCTAATGGACTTCATCTCATCTATATCTCACAGCCAGCTTATCTGGGCTGTGCACATGGGGGTCTCTTGGGACAATAGTGGTAAGAGGTAGGTTCTACGAATGGGAAAACTAGAATGGCAATTAATAGAAAAGTATAATGGCAAAAGTCTCTCATTGCTTTAGTTCACAGTTGCATTCCCTTCTAAGCAATTATGAATGTCTTTTATTTTTTAACTTAACATCCATGGACATAGTAAAGTTTTGGGTTGGCAAAGCCACCCAAGGGAGTTAATGCCAGAGGCAGAAAGCACATGTTACCTAGTGGTGCTGCATGTAGATGGAGTGTCCACTTTGGCCTCCCTCAGCATACCTGCTTGCCCTGCTAGTGTAGTGGTCTGGAGTTTGTAGATGTATGGAGCTCCTTGGCTGGAATGCCCCCTTGAGTCCTCCTGACTGGCATGGCCCAGGATATTCATGGATTGTGTATGGACCCTAGAAAGGGTATCAGCAGTCCTTCTGAGGGAAATCTGACCTTGAGGCCTTACTGATAGGCCCCCTTCACATCTTTGGTGACACGAGAGGCAAATGGCTCAGGTACCTTCCACCTTTGACATTCATCAACTCTAAGACAGCCAGCTGGAGTGCAGGAACAGAGTGCCTTAGATCACAGTAGGTCTGGAGGCTCCCTGCCTCAAGTTCTGAAGCTGCTGGCATTCTGTGTATACAATAATTCCTACAAAGATGAAGATAGGATTGAAAATGGCACTCTTTTATCTGAGTTGGAAGGGAAGAAATCAAAGCTCGTCCCCATTTCTGTTCCTGTGTGGGGAGTGGGGTTTTCCCTCTCCCACATGCATGTAGTAAGCACCTATAGCCACTGGTAACACAGGGCCTCAGGTTTGACTGCTAGTGCCCAGAGTGTGGGTACTTTTGTTTAGTGTCGTGTCCTGTAAGTCCTGAGAACCTGAATTCTCCTGACACAGACTGGCTCTGGGGCTGAAATGCCCCTTGGTAGAGATTATGTTGGGTTGGGAAAGGGAGAGGAGAGCATAATTTTACAGTGGTGCCTCTGCTGTGGAGATGCCATGTTCACTTACAGTGGAGAATCGACAAGACTGAAGAGGGGGAGATACTGACAGGCCCCTTACTAGACATAAGGATGTTCCACCATTACTTTAGGTATCTGGTGTGATTCTCCCCAGTTCCCAGGTAAGGGCTGTAGACTGGCCTAGCAAACAAGCCATAGCAGAAAGACCTTAGCAATTCACATTCTTTTAATTTTGTTCTTTTATAAACCTCACTCCCTGCCCCTTAATCTTGCAGGTTAAGAAAGGAAGCTCAGGTAGGGGATCTAGTAGCTTGACTAACACCACAATGCAAATTAAAGGTCACTGTTCTTCTGGACCACCATACAGAAGTGTTTCCAGATGCAAAAATTAATTCTTTATGGATTTTTCATAGCAGCCTTAACTACTACCTGCTGCCATTTATATAATTCACGCAAGTTTTTATAAATTCCTAGGTCAAGCCTGTGCATTTATTAAGGTTTTTCAACTTGTCAGTCCTGCCTAAAACTGGCTAGGACCACCCTAAACGCAGGCTCCTTTGCCCCTTTCCTGTTCTCTCCCCCAGCCTGCCTCATTTCACAGCAGAATCATAGTAGAAACAGGTGAGGTTGACTATGGATCAGTGTTGTCCAACATAACCTCTCTACAATGATGGAAATGTCTGTCTGTGCTGTCAGCACCCCTGCCAGTAGTCCCTGGACACCCTTGAAAAATGCTTTTGTGACTGAGGAATAGAATTTTAAACTTTTAATTCTATCTTAAATAAGCGCCTGTGGCAAATAGATAATATATTGACTCAAAACTTGGGACCCAAGCACCAGAAAGGGATGTGATGAGCTGGCTGTCTAATGAATCCAGGGTCTATAGTATTGCCTTCTATAATGGTGGCTCAAGTTAGTTCATCAAAAGCATCCCAAAGGCGTGGGGACTTAGCTAAAGGTCAGAGTCTGGAAAGGAGGGACAGAGTACGGCTCTTTTTACTCCACAGAATATAATTTTCAAGTCAAACAGAAAGAACATATTAGTCGTGTCAATATCAGCACAGTGGGGAGCAGACATGTCCATCCCCACAAAGAAAGAACCTTTCCAGTTCCTCATGGGGAAGGTCACTGGCAGGAGAACTGAGCCATGTCCCCTGGTCCTTCAGTACTATGCTTTAGATACACTTTAGTGATTAGCCAAAAAAGCAAAAATGATCCCTGCTGAGTTAGGAGTGAGCTGCAGCACAACCCGTCATAGACCTAACATGTGAACACATCTCCTGAAAGCATCTTAGGAAGCTACCTAGCGCTGCTCCCCACACAGTGCTTGGCACCTTGTAACTGGAAGCTCACAAGAGCAGGGGCTACATTTCATAGCCCTGGACACTAGTGTCTGACAGAACAGACTCTCAAAACACATCTGGAAGCATTTAGAACTCCTGCTTTTGGCATGCTTGGGATGGCTTGTTCCCAGCCATAGCCAATAGTGCCAGTACCTGCCTCCCCGCCCCTAAACAGTGAGAAGGAAACTAGACCAGCTCCAAGCCTTGGATGCAGGCTCCTGTAAGGTGGGTTGGGGAGTCCTGCCCATAGACCCCTTGGCTCCTTATCAGTCTGGTCAGATCCTTGGGCTTTGCAGCAGAAAATGCCATGCACTTGATTTGTCTTTCTGACATGTTTGCATCAGGATTTTTCTTGGCTTTCCTCTTCTGAACAACAGAGTAGAGGTTTCTCCCTACCTCAATAAGCACTTGGTATTTTTTTAAAATAAAATTCTAAGTATAATGGGTAAGGGGCCATAGCAAGGACTCCTTGTGGGGTCTTTAGGCCCAGGAGAGGCTGACTATGCCTCAGCAGCACATGCAGAAGGGAAGGGTCTCTTGGATGCTGCCTGAGTGAGGCCTTGCCAGAACGAGGGCATAGAACATTTCTTCTCACATGTATTTCAGAGCTAGCTCATCTTGGCTATGCAAATAGGGCCCACTGGGGGCACTTAGGAGGTCTGTTAGCTACTAAGAAAGAACCTTTAAGGTCAAGCACCTGTGTTTGTGGGGGAGGAGCTGCCGCCTCCCACGGGGACTGCTAATACTCCTTCATGTTGGTTGCTTCAGGTGACGCCCTCCAGAGAAGAACATAGGAGACCAGCATAACCCAGCCCAAATCACCCAGCCCTTCATAGGATTAAACTTTGCTCAGTAAAATCTGTTTAAAATGACAATTCTTTGCTCAGAGGTCCCATCTCCTTTTTTTTTTTTTGGCAGTACTGTGGTTTGAACTTAGGGCCTTGAACTTTCCAGGCAGGCACTCTATCAGTCTTTTAAAATAGGGTCTCGGCAGTTTTTGCTTCCCCTATTGCTGGGATGACAGGCAAGTACCACTGTGTCCAGCATTTTTATTTATTGAGACTGGAGGCGGGGCGCGGCGGGTGGTGGCTATTGAACTTATTCCCTAGGCTGGCTTTGAACTTTGGTCCTCCTGAGCTCCACTTCCCAAGTAACTAGGATTACAGCCATGAGCAACTGGCCCTCCGTGTGCCAATCTTAAGAAGCCACTTTTGCAAGTGATGACAAGTCTCCCCTCGCTTCCTTTGTTCAGAGAAACACTGCTTGAGAATCACCCTGATGTGCTCCTTCATTGCTGCAAGTAATAAGCTTTTCTTCACTCACCAAGGGGCAAACTCATTGTATTAAGTTCCCATAGCCTCTCCCCAAGAGGCTTGTAGCCCTTTGCCACTGGGCTTCCAAAAAAAGCAGTGGACTGCAGCAGCTTGTCTAGACTCTCAACTCTATGTTGCTGAGGGCAGATCCTAAGGAAACAGGAGAAGTAGCCTCTTGGTACCTGACTTGCAGGTCCAGCAATTGTGTCATTTGGATGAACTCAGTGGCTACTCTGAACCTTTCATTTGGAAGTTTCCCAGATCAGTGAGTAGTGCTGTGCCCTCAGAGTTGGCTAACAGAGTCCTGGTAAATGGAGCTGTTCTATGGTTATCAGTTAATGATAGGTTGAATATGTAGTGGTCTCCGTCCATGAGACTGGTGAGGTAAAAAGTCTTCCCTCAGAAACTTCAGATCAAAAGGCTCTGACTCAGACACTGGAATTAGGAAAAAGGCACTGACTATAAATACAGATTCCAGCAGTGCCTTCTCAGTGATCCTTGCTCATGGGGCTTCCTCCGTATCAACAACGAAGAAATTAAAATGCACAGATCCACAGAGACAGCTAAATGTGTGGCCTTGTCTTGAGAGATTTTCCAGTTGCCTTTGATCCCTTCTCTGCCTTTCTAATAAATCTGACCCCTTCTCAGAGAAAGAGGTGGAGGAAGCAAGCGTTTCAGTAGACAATCTCCTACAGACAAGTAGCTAACTAAGGCTATGTGTGACGTCACCCACGTTATTGAGGTAATTGTTCCCCCGGGAAATGACTGATTTGACTTCTGTTTACTCTGCTGCTTGCTCCACCCTTGTATGTGAGGGAAGGTAACTCTCCCTCCAGGATCTCTGAAACCTTGTCTACGGCAAGAAGTTTAACTGACTGTGGAAGCGTCACCCAAACCTTTCTCAGTTTCTGACCTTACTGACCCCGTGGCTCTCCCTGTAACTAACTTTCCATGGCTCCTAACTTTACTGTGTGATATGATGATATACCCTACAAAGTAACATCGGGAAGAAGGGGAGCCACCCAGAACTCCACATGCCCCTCCCCTTGTTTTTACTTAACTCTTCCACCGAGAAAGCTTGAGTTCTGCCATACACCTGAGGTTATGAACTGTCCTGAGCCTGTCGGTACTGCTGTGATCAGCAGGCTAGTTAACCTATCATTTCTCAATAACAGCTCAACTAGATTCTGTGTAAGGAAAAGCCAACATGAAGAGTCTCCTGCCTCCTGATACCCCTCTGCTAGAGTCTGACAAGGAGATACTATTAGCCTTCCCCTTTGTTTGCTCTATGGGAGACTCACTATTTGAAACACTGAGAGGATGCCAAATAAGTGAATTGCTTTGTACTATATTTTAGTTGAGCAAGGAGGGGGTCTGTGCCATCAGTACAACTTCCTGTGTGTTTATATTAACACAACACCTTGAGGAGATTTGGAATCAGGTTTCTGGATTCAAAGAATGTCTCCAGAAAACTAGTAATAAACAACTGGCTCTCAGGACTGTTTTTCTGGATCCCCCATGCATTAAGTCTTTATTTTCTGAGCTACTCAAAGTCACAACTCCCTTTAACTGGTCATATTTGTGATTTATGTCATAATCAAATATGCTTCAAAATGTTGCAGTAAAACAATTTCAAAAGATGCTATAGAGCTATGGTAACCCTGGTGATTATAAACCCATCTAGCTTTGGCATCAAGAGAGAATCACTCCTCAACCAGGAGCACAGGTAGTGCCCCTAGTCAGTAGAAAGAGTGAAATACCTCAGGGAGAATTTAATTACCCACTATCCAGGAATGTTCAGAGTCAAGTGCCTGGTGACCCAAAGAGTTGCTGCCTCCCATGAGAACTAACATCCTTGTGCATTTTTGTTTCAGGTGAGCTCCTCCAGAGCAGACCATAAGGAACCAGTGTACACCAGCCAGAGTCACCGTGATGCTCTCCTTCCTTGCTGCAAGTAATAAACCTTTCTTCACTCTACCTTCTGGTTGTACTTTCTGGCTTTGCACTCACCAGGGGCCAATGCATTGTTTGGTTATAGGTCCTTAACCAATATGAAAAGCAGGAATTGTTCTTGAAAGGCCTTTCTGTAGTATTTTTACATAGTCAACTGAAAAAAACAGTTTTAAATAAAATTGTCAACTAAAAGTGGTTGGGCCTAAGTTCAAAAAAATGTGAACAAACAAATGATCGCTGAAAAGCAAAACATCTGTGCAGGGAAGAAGAATTTGGAGGAACTAATCGAATTAAAACTTGCAATGTCACATTCATGTGGTTAAAAAAGCACTCACAGTGCTCCATGACAATTTCAAACAACTTCACAAAATTAACCAAGAGTTCTGTCTTCCCTTGAAACTAAAAAAAAAAACAAAACAAAACCCTGTTCAAATGTCATCTTGTTGTTTTAAAAACAAATAAATTACAATTGTATAGAATGATACTCGAGAAAGTGACTTAGATAAGATTTTGCTGAGGTTCATTTCTCAAGATGAACTTTATAAGCTGACTCTAAGAAATGTTATTGGGGCACCAGGTGTGCTGGTACATACCTGTAATCCCAGCACTTGGTTGGATGAGGCAGGAGGATCTCAAGTTCAAGTTTGAGGCCAGTCTGGGCTATATAAGACCTTGCATCAAAAATACTAAAAAAGCAAAGGCATCAAGAATTAAAATACAGGTGAGAAATGAACAATCTTTTCTTCCTCTCAGATAATGCAGGGAGGCATATGGTGGAGCAGAGCTTCCTGGGATCTAAAGGTAAGAATGCCTGGCAAGCGGGGTGCCTTCTGCCCAGTCAGCCTGCATACCTCTCTGGCCTTTGATAAAATGAGGAAGCAGGACTAAGCACACATCCTTGCTAGCTGGAAAATTCTGTGATTCTACTAGAATTAATTATATACAGTGCTGTCACCTTAGAGCAGGAATCAGCACACTCTGGCCACATGTGGCCTATGGCCTGTTTTTGTATAGCCCTGAATCAGAGAATCGTTTAACACATTTTTAGAGGGATGCTAAAAAGCAAAAGTGAAAAAAAACAAAAACAAAAAACAAAGACTATGTGATAGAGACAAGTGTTTGTGGCCAGCAAATCCTAATGTATTTGCTTGCTGGTACTTTTCAGAAGAAGTTTGCTGACCCTTGGCTTAGAAGATGGACATTAATGAGAAGTTCTTCCTCATGAAGGCAAGAGAATAACATTGGCAAAAAAGGTTCTAGCCAGTGAAATCTGCCCAACACAGCATGAGGAGAGCATACATAGTACTTCCTGTGTTAAAGTAATGGAGAGGTCAGCTGTAAGCACCTGGCCAATAACTAAGGCAGAGATCTGGCTTCTCATTGCACAGAGTAAGATTGGCAGGAGGTTCCAGTCAATGCTTCTGTGTAACTCTGGGACACATCAGTCTCATTATTACCATTGTGAATGACACCACCTTCATCACTGGAATGCACAACCTGCACAGCTATACTCAGTATCCCTGGATCAGGCTACCTGTGCACCTTCACAGATGAACTTTATATATGATAGCCTGCAGTACTGTGGCAGTGATTTTCTTATTTATTACTTTGAAGAACTATGTGAATGTGACAGAGTTCAGCGGAGGTCCTGTACCTGTTTGGTGGCCCCAAGAATTTGGTTGCCTTGGCCCTGGCCACTGGAGCAATAGTGGTCATCTGCAATGGTAATCTGTGCATTCTCCTCGGCCTCCAGCTGGCTCTGATTGAAACGCAGAGAACCTTTTAAGATGTCTTTGATCTATTTTCAAAAAAGAATAAAATCATATGAATGAGTTTGCATTTAAATACTAGCTAAATATCTCATACATTTAAAGTAGACTTGTAGGCCTGGTGGAGTGGCTCAAATGGTAGAGTGTCTGTCTACTAAAGTAGACTTGTCATTGACCTATTTTTATACAGCAATCCCTCTTATCTGTGGTTTCAGTTACTACAGTCAACTACAGTCTAAAAATACTAAACAGAGAATTACAGAAGTAAACAGTTCATAAGTTTTAAATTGTGTGCTATTCTAAGTAGGGTGATAAAATCTCTTTTCCTACTCAGGATAGGAATCATCCCTTTGTGCAGAGTCTCCATGTGCTCACACTACTGTCCTGGATATCAGATCCACTGTCATGATGTTGTGATACTTATGTTCAAGTCATCCTTACATAGTAGGCAAATACTACATTGTGATATCTGTATCATTCACCTCACTTCATTTCATATGAAGGCACTGTATCATCTCAGCGCATCACAAGAAGGAAGAATAACATATTACAAGATAGAGGACACATTCACTCAAACTTTTATTATAGTGTGTCATATTTACTCTATTATTCTTGTTACTCTCTTTCTGTATCTCATTGATATACCTTCTTCTATGTATGTACAGGGTTCAGTGCTATCTGTGGTTACAGGTATCCACTGTGGGGGAGGGGTGTCTCTGGAATCTATCTCCCATGGATAAGGAGGACTATTATAGATGAATATTAACATCGTACCATAAGAACGAAATAATGGGAGAAATTCACCTTTATGAAAGCCACGGGCTTAGCAGTAATCAAGGGAAATTTTAGGGTGTTAATGGCCAGGATCTCCCAGGGTGGGAGGTATCTTGAGCATGGACTGTACACCACCCCCTGGTGCGTGGCCTTAGCAGGGAAGTGGCTCTGCTCCAGGAGGAGCAGTTCATGACAGGAGCAGCACACTCCTCTCCAGTGATGTTTACATCCTGCTTAGGACTGCAAGGGTTGGATAAATCAGAGTCTTGAGGGTCTGAGGCCTACTGAAGGTAGTGACTATGACATGTGCTCCAAGGACATTTGTGGATGAATGATCAAACATGATGCTGGACCATACCATGCCAGCTAGAGATGAAGAGCAAACAGAATGGGTTTGGTAAGAAGGGGCAGGGCTGCAAGGTAGTCAAACATAGTCACTGGAAGGAGCAAGGGGTGTGAGGAGGTGGAGATTCAGAAGGGGCCATGTCTGGTAGATATTAGGGGCAGGAAGCACTGGCTGTAATATGGCACCCCATGATCTATGGTGCCCACCCCCGCCCAGAGCAGGCAACATATGGTGGTCTGTGGGACACAGAAATAGTATCAGAGCAATACACATACCTGTTTTAATCCTGCCAGGGAAACCAGAATTTGATCTTCCTTTTCCAAATTTTCTTGTAATATCACATCTTGAATATTTACTGAAAATAGAATGACATTTTATAATGAATGCTCTGAGTATTTCTTAAATGTTGCCACACCATAACTTCAGACAAGATGGATTTTTTCCCACTAAATTTCATAGCAACTACTCCCATCAAAGATACTGTGCAAACTGCAGATGGGAACAGATAGGGTGGCACTGAGCCTGGGGTGCACAGCCTGGATGGAGCCTTCCCCCAAGCATCCCATGAACTGATAATGACAGTGTCTTCACTTCCAGAAAGAGAACTAGGCATCTCTTGCTGAAGCACAGTGGTTCCAGCAGCCTGGAGCAATTGCTGTCTCTAGGAGGAAGCATTTCAGCCCAAGCTCCCTACACTGTTGTAGAGTTCAGAAGTGTTACCTTACCTGTTACTAAAGACCAGTTCCTCCCAGGTGACTAAATTAATAAAGAAACCGTATCTTAGGATTTATAAAAGTAAACCATTTTGCCATTTCAATGTAATAGAAAAAAATCATGGCACTACAGTCATTCCTGTAGACCTGACCTAGGAGACCCGCCAAGACAGATGCTGACCATAGCTTAGAGTCAGACCCTGTTGCCCCCCTGACACGTTAAACTTGCAGTGGTCCTCAGCCCTTCACAGCCTGCAGAATGCACAAAGACTATCAGGGACTGTGGCTGATTGAGGGGAGATTCTCAAGAGAGCTCTGGAGGAAGAGGAAGAGTGAAAGCTCTTTGCCCACTGTCCTGGGGAGGTACAGAGCAATGTGGTGGCAACAGGAAGGCACAATTCAAACACATTTTACAGAAGATACTGACAGGTACACCAACATCAGAATCACCATTAAGTAGGTTCACAGTCTATTAATATATGCTTTTCTCATTTTCTTTCTGGTTTTCTTTTTCTTTTTTTGCAGTACTGGAGTTTTGAACTCAGGGTCTTGTGCTTGCTGGGAAGGTGCTCTACCACTTTAGCCATGTCCCTAGCTCTGCTTTCTTATTTTCTATAGCCTTAAAAATGCCCCCTTTGTAATGCCTTTCATGCTATATTTCTGTAATTCATTCAACAAGGTTGTCCCAGTGTCTATTTGGCACTCCTAGATTCTGTGTTTGGCCCCTACAGCCACCAGAGATAATATATCACCCTTGCTCACTCAGTGTCCACAGGTACATGCAAAACCAGCACCTGTACCCCTGTCCTGGTGGCTGTCTCCAACTCTTTGTAGACCAGCCTCTCCTTTTTGTTCAACTTTCTACTCTAGAGTTGCTTCTTCACAGCAGTCTTCCTGCCCACCCAAACTAGAGTACCCCCAGGTCACTCTCTACTTTTACCACATCACCTATCTTGGTGTCTTTAAAAGCACTTGTCATTGTCTGACATTACCACATGTATGTGTGTCCAACTACTATCCAACTGTCTAACAGGATATAATGTCTAGCAAATTCTTGCTTAGGGCTATGTTTCTAGCCTTGGGATAATGCCTGTTTCACTACAGGTACACAATAAATACTTGCTGAATGAATACAAATGGAAAAACACTCTGGGAACTTGGATGTCAAAACACAGTTACTCTAAATATTTTCAAAAAGTATTTTCAGTAAGGGACAAAGCGAAGACTGAGCCCATCAACATGCTGTGAATAGGACAGTTTACTAGAATCTTCAGTAAGAATAAATCTATAAACATTGCAGCAGGAAACAGCATCTTTTTTTTTTTATTGAGAAAACTTGACTGTAGTTCTTGGCTAATAGAGAGTCAGACTCTAGAACAGAAAGCAATTTGAATGGGGATAGAACAATAGATATTCTTACAGAGCGAATGTTTTTGGTTTTCTTAAAAGCTTGTAATAGTTTGTTCTCTCTCAATAAAAAAAACAAAACAGAATCCACTCAACAAGACATTAACAACAACCAACTGCAGAAAATTTACAAGAACCAGTTTTGTAGATTTTTCAGAGGCCTAAAAAAGGCTGCTTTTGCTTCTAACGCACAGCTGCAACTGTGTGGATGGCTGACTGAAGCGGAGGGCCCACAGTAGCTGGGTGGTTTGACAGGGCAGGGGGCTCTGCTCCCACTGAGCTGCAAGATGGGTCCACAGGGCCAGTTTGGGGCAGCTACCAGCCCCTGAGAGGAAGCTCAGTCAACGGCACAGGAGCACTGAGGAATCTGTAGGATCATATGGGTCCTGAGAACTAATGGAAGTTTGGCGCCTGCAGGCATACCCACAATGCACAGGCTAGCAACAAGAGGAATCCATAGAGGCCAAATGTGAGCTATGCTGCCTGGATCTTTGCCTCCTGCCTCGCCCTTCGATGGTCTGCTGTAGAACATGTCCTAACCAAAAAGATCTGGCCAACTTGCCTGGCTCCTACCCCTGAAGTAAGGGAAAGGCCCATGGTCAGCAATTATAAGAGAACAAAGGCCTTTAAGTATCAGTGTCTACATGAAATCTTCAAAAATCATACTACCACAATGCCTGAAAATTCCATGAATCAGGAAGTTCTGTGCCAGCCTCTTGTGGGTACCCTCTTTTGCTGTGAGCCTCCCATAGATCCATCCACTTAGGAGTGGTAATGGTGACACTTGATGGGATAGGGGAGTGGTGGGGAAGGCTAAAAGGTAGGGTGTACTAGGAAGACAGAACAACAGAAACCTGTCTTTAATGACAGCCCTAAATGGGAATAAGTTTCTGTCACACAGGTCACCTTCCCTAAAGAGCTCTCTTTTGGTAAGAGCATGAGCAGTGAGGAGTCTAAGTCTTCACTACTGCAATGATTCTTTGATCTAAGAGGTGGCACCCTCCACTCCTTCCTCACCAGCACAGATGCTTTAATTCAGGGTGGCATGGTTTGCACCAGACCCTGCAGCTGAGGTTGGTCATGTGACACAAGTCTGGCCAATGGCATAAGAGAAGTGCCTGCCTTCTAGCCCTTTACTCTTCCCGCTGCTGCCAGCCTAAAATGTTGGCAGGGCCGCCCAAGTCATGTTTCCTGGGACACCTCATGGAGCTGCCTATCACCTTTACTTAGGAAATAAAAAATAACCTGATTTGTTTGCCCCACTATTGTTTTTCTCCCAGGCTTATAATATGAGCAATTGTATTAGTTTCCTAGGGCTGCTGTAACATGTGCCTCAAACATAACAGAAATTTATTCTCTCAAAGTTCTAGAGGCTATAAGGCCAAAGTGAAGGTATTATTAAGCCACACTCTGAAGGTTCTAGGGAATAATTCTTTCTTCTGGCAATTCCAACAATTCTTGGCATTTTTTTTTCTTTTGGCTTGTAGAAACATTAATCTTTGCCTCCCTGGTCAATGTGACATTCTTTCTGTGTGCATCCAAATTTCCCTCTTCTTCTAAGTCACTGAATTAGGCCCTACCTAAACCAGTATGATGTCATCTTCAGTCAGTTTTATCAGTAAAGTCCCTAACTAATGTCAATATTCACCCAGTACAGCAGCTAAACTGGCTGGTTGTTACACAGTATGAAAATCATCCAATTCCTCCAATGAAAGGCAAAGCAGCCCCCCACCCCAACCTTCTGCTTCAAGCAGAATGCAATGCATAGTTTGAGGCAGGTGTGAGCTTGATGTGCAGAATCCCAGGATCTCCTTCCCAGGGAGGAGAAAAGCTCAGGGCCTCAGTTTTATGACCAGTGTTCCCTCACCCAGACCTTTTTTTTTTGATGGGGTCAAGAATCACCTTTTAGGATCTGATAAAAACCAGGACTTCTCCCCTGAAAACCCACATGTACATGGAATAGTCACTTAATTACAAGAAAAAAAGAACCCATCTGTTTTAATGAACTAAGATGACTTGGCTCATTTTAATAAATTTGGGGAATAGAAAGCCAAATGAAAACAAAAGGGCCCCTTTAGAGGCTGTCAAATGTTCTGAATATAAGTTTTTTATTTTACTAATACAGTACTGACCATGTATATCCTTTGCTAACCAATTCCACTATGTATTTATTTAAGGTAGTATTTATGAATAGTCTCCTAACAAATAACCTCCTATAGTAACAAGCCTATTGTTTTAGGCAAGTTGCAATTGTAGATAAAAAGAGAAAAACATAAAATATTAAAGGAAGAAATGTGAAATTTTAAATTTCCAATGGAATTCTTAATTTTCTTCATGACAAAAGGCAGAATTATGCTATAAAGGCTTTGGATTTTTTTTTTTTTTGGTTTCTGTGTAAAAGCAAGATTATACTCTTCATAATCTCCTTATACTTAAGTATTATGTATTATAGTCATGGGAACACTGACAGTGAAGGGGAAAATGCCATATAACCAGCAACTTCTGTGTAAATTACAAAAACCTCATCCATAGATTAATTTCATGGTGACTCTATTTTCAACGGAATGCCAAAGCCACAATAATAAATCTCTAACTGTAAAACACAGTTTTACACAAAGTTTTTCAATTTCTTAGAAAACTTAATTTTTTCCAAATTTAGAATAAACATATTTTCATCTAAATGTTTTAAATGGCTGGTGCAAAAAGTAACATAAGACTTCTTGGGAGTAGTGAAAAGGGGGAGAAAAGCAGTTTATGTCTAGATACACTAGAGGTGGAACTGGGTAAGGTATTGCACCTCCTGTGTCTGTAGGTGGCAGGATCACTGTGAAGAAAGAATGAGACAGCCCAGGCAAGCTTGAACACAGTCCCTAGCCTGCTCCAGAAGCTCATGGCATGGACGCTTTTACTCTTACATGGGCACATGCTTCACTGAGTGTCCCAACAACTGTCTAGATGAGAACCATCATGTTATTACAGGAAACGGAATCAGGCCTAGAAATACAGCTTTGCGTTTTGAAGTCTCACAATTGGAAGGTGTGGAGGGAGGATTAGATCTTAGAGCTTTCAGGCCACTGAGCCCTCTCACAATGGTACTGAGGGGCAGGGGTGGGAGCTATGAAGAGGAGGCAGAGGACAGGTCTGTGGCACTGACTCCACTGCCCTGAGATGTAGTGCCCCTTATTTTGAGGTGGAACTCATCTAAGTGAAATCAGCTAGCACCAAAAAGTCACCT